AATTACAAAGTTCCCAATTGCTGCTGGGCTCTCTTTTTGCCTGACTGAAAAGGTGCTCGGATAGTGTAAAAGAACGGCCTCCGGCCGTGCAGAGTTTACTGCAGAAGTATCGGAGAAAGGGCGGGTGCCCCGTGCTATGTAGTGTGTATGCACGTTGACAACATTCTCCGAGCCATTAAGTACCGCGGCGCTTTCGCTCAGTTGTGCTCGCAGTGCTGGTGGTCCCCTTTCCCTCACGACCTGTTAAGTGCATCTGAGTTGCCAGCCGGAGCACATGTCGTGCGAGTGCACCGTGTTGTGGTGAGTCTCGAGGTTCCGCAACTCTGGTGCTTCCCGGCACCGGTGTCCCCCCTGTCTGGTTCCCATCCTTGGTGCTCCGGGTCCTTCCCATCCACTCGAACTCCGGGTTGACTCGGCTGTGCAGCGGAGCTGGTGCCCGGTTGCCATGCTGGGTGTACTCTGCGGCGGCGAAGACTCCCGAAGCTCATGCCGCTCCAGCCTGGACGGGATTGGTTCCCCCTGTGTCTGCTCGGGCGGTTCCCAGTTGAGGATGTCGTCGAGTGCCTTGTCCGTCTCAGGGTTGCTGGGTCCTTTGTCGCATGCCCGTCACACGTCTGCATTGGCTGTGTTGTGCGAGTTGGTCCCGAAGATGATGCCGATGATCGCGGCCTTGTCCTTGGGCTTGTGGACGACGACGAAAACGAGGAGGAGCTGGGTGCCCTCTTTCTCTTCCTCGTTGTAGTGGTCGTCCGGGGTGTGGTGGTGCGCCGGCGCGGTGCCGGTCTGGACTTGCTTTTGGGCATCCCCTGAGTTGCCTTTGAGCGGGCGCCCGAAAAAGTGCGAGCCCGTCGTGTTATGGGGCGAGGTGGTTTTGGTAGTAGAGCTTGGTCTCGACGTAGTGCTGGTGGTCCTCGTTGCCGGAAAGCTTGCTGTCCTGGCTGGCTTGGCCTTGGTCAGCCCTGGTGTCCTCTGCGGCAGATTGTTGTTGCTCCTCCTTTAAGGCTGGTGCCCTGCACGCAGTTGTCCGCTTCACGCTCGTGGCTCCAGTGTTTGCCTCCTTTCTCCCGTCCAGCTCCCACCAAGCATCGAGGGCAGGTCCTGACTCCATGCACAAGTAGGGCGTCCTGCTTCGTAGTCGCCGTGTGTGCAGCCTTGTGCCGGCTCAGTGGAGGTCTTTGGTCCTCCGACTCATCAGGTGTACGTTTCGTTCTTGGTGTCCCTGCCACAGTCACGTCCGTTCCCCCTCCTAGCGCGGTGGTAGAGCCGCGTCTCTGAGTGGGTGTCCTCGGGAGGGTGCTGCAGGGTCGCCGTCTGGTCTCCCATTTCTACAAGGTTCCTTTTCCGGACGAGTTCTTTTATGGTGTGGCATCTTTGCCCAACCCCTACTCCTGGGCCACTGCAAACCTCCCTGAAGGGCCTCTTGAGCCAAAATGGCTCTCTCTCGCTCGCTCTCTCTCTGTCTCTCTCTCCCTCCCTCCCTGCTTGTGTTTCGGTGGGCATCAGGACCTACTGCCCAGCCCTTGATGTGCGCAGTTGTGCATGAAAGCGCGCCGAGCATTCTTTGGCCCCTCCAAGTCTCTCTTCATAGCACATAGCTGCCATAGCTATTCTTGCTACCTCTCTCTCCCTTTGTCTGCCACTCCTTCTGTATCTGTCGGAGCCCACTGAGGCAAACACCTTCTTGTGAATTCGGGCCATGTGTTGGACCATTACCAACTCAATACATGACCTGGACACCAGGGCAAGGTAGAGCACGCCCAGGTTTCAGGACAGTGACAGGGCGTGCCGATATCCCGATAAGCCAGGCTTTCCACCTTAGAAACGTGAGTGCATGCTATGTGCAAACTTGCTACACACTTGCTCGCCACTCTCTGCATTGCTCCACTGAGTTTGCAATGTCTAAGGATCCAAGCAATCGTTTGGTAACGCGTGACCTCCAAGCAATCCAGAATTTCCTGGCGGATCCGCTCGTAATAGGATGCAATCGTGGAAAGCTGCAGGCCAAGCCTGGTTGCACGGACCTGAATAGCCTGACTTCGCCACAAGCTCACGGATAGCGACTTCGCGGGTCATACCTCAGGGATTTTACATGCTTGCGCGGTCCAAAACGAAATGTCTGAGGAGCACCGTGCTCTTTGGCCACCTCTGGCAGGTATGTTGCGGAAAACCGCCTCTCGACTGGAATCGCTGAACGGCATCATCATGCATGACAATCCTCATGCTAGTGTGCCTTCCGTGAGAGTCTGAAAAGTTGAGCAACACGCCATGCCTTATCAACGAATGTGGTGCCAGGCAAAACGTACGGCAACATGACACGAGCTGGGGCAACGACACGCCAACTTGCCAATCGAAGGCATGCGCGCAGGGCTCGAACTTGTGCAAAATCGATATTCTGCAGGTCAAAGCAGGGACCTGCGAACAGGATGTGGTTTGGCACAAACCATTATTACACACACACGGACAACGACGACGGCGACGACCACCACCGCCACCGCCACCAACCACCACCAACAACAACAACAGCAACAACAGCTTCTCCATTCAACACGGGGGTGCATCCGAGGCTGTATCTCGGACAACCATTGCACGGTGTGGCTACATCCTTCTCCGCACGCCAACTCCGAGATCAGGATGGCCGACTACCTTAATTATTAGACACAATACCAGATTCGATATCAATGGAAGTGACTGTCAGCTTGCTGTCTGAATAACAGTACTGAAGCATCCTGGGCTAGATTTGCTCTGGAAGTCTCTGACCATTATCCGCTCGTCTTGGTCCGGTTCTCCCGACAAACTCATGTCCCTCATCATGCAGTGCAGACATCAGTGCAGCAAACACTCGGAGCCATTTGGTCATCTCTGCGGTTTGCGTCTTGTGATCAGTTTCCAGTGGCCCCAAAGCCATCGCACAAAGAATCGGATCAGGACACTGTCAGCACGGGGTGCTCGGCGCTCTGAATATTTTGGCATGGACAACATGTCAATTCCCACGTGGAAGCCATGGCACCGAGTTGTCACAGTGGGAAGCTTGGTAGAGGGATGCTCCTTGATGCATGCTACTCCCAGCCGCCCTCAAAAAACGAACGAACTCTCGATTGTTGGAATGTTTGAGATTGGCATGGCATGGGATAGCACAGACTTCTCACGATCAGTAAGGTCCTAGGTCTTAGGCACTGGCAAACACTTTAGTAGCCACATCCTCTGCCAGTAGTACGTAGAAAAACCGCTCTCTGACAGCTTGATTGTCTTAACTAGCCCGCAGGTGTTTGTCTTTTGAGCCCAAGTTTATTTCATCCGGACGTCTGAGTCCTCTCTCGACGTCTCATCAGTCTAAGCAAGCATGAGTCCAAGCTTCCAGCTGAACCACACTTTCCCGAAACTTGCTGCCTGTCGGCTGCATTAACACTCAATCCTGCCTCGTCTAGCTTGACAGGTGGGAACCGTCGGTCCTTCGATGACTTGTGTACACAGGCAGGATGTGAATCTTAGCAGGGCTACGAGTCCTTCATGGAACTTCGTATGGCGTACTCAGAGAGGCCGCTGTGGAAGTGGATTGGCTGACAATGCATCGCAAATCGCAACACACTTTCTGGTCACCACAGTGCACCCTCTGCCAACCACATCTCACCTCTAGGCATCCGATGCAACCGCGCAGCTCCAGCTCGGAGTCGTGCAAGCCCTAACATGTGCAAACATCTGTCGTGTCTGCTTGCACATGGAGTTGACCGAGGAACGCGCCGTCCTGGCATTATTGCGTTGCTTCAGCCAAGTTATGAACAATGGAGCCTCCCGCAAGACCAGTCACACGAAGGCACGTGAACACATATCCCAAAGGCAAAAAGCACCTTGAATCCGGGATCCGCAAGAGGTGGAAAGCTGGGAAGAGGCAAGCCTGGGTGTCATGTACTTGATTTCATAATCCAAGAGAAACCAAGAGATTCAGAGTCCGACTCTCCAAGTGCGCACGGAGCACCTGCGGACTGTAAGGTCGGTGCGGTAAAAACAACAACATGAGCTCTGAGCCTGGAAGCAAAAACAACAGAGCTCAGCCGCACTGAGACCTAGCCATGTCATGCCACATCAGAGACATCTGGCTGCCCAAGGCCCAAACTTCGCCGCTGTCAAAGAGCAATACTTGCTCCAGCGCACAACAGCATGAACACTCGACTTTTCACTATCCTCGACCTACTGCAGAGGCACAGCTCACGTAGCAACCCCACAGCATGGACCCGGCAAAAACGGATCTGATGCCATCAGAGAAATGCCTGTTGGTACAGGGAGCAAAGACTTTGTCAGAAGTCCTCAAGGGAAACGCACTTTCTTGACGATGGCGAATTGTTTGGATTCAGGCGTCCTGGGCAGTCTGCCACATCACCTCCTCCCGAGAAGTAGGAGGCAGGCGTACGATGCATTGCTTCCACGTTCTCCCACCTTCGCTCCAATCACCAGGAGCCTCAGCAAAGACTGCTCCTTCCAAGCCTTGCACTTCAAGCGAAGTTTCCGCTGAAGATCACGACGGGATCCAGCAAATTCGAGCGCAACTTCATCGCCGTGGCCATTGGCATGTCATGGGGGCTCTTGAGACTCAGTTGGAGATCCGACGAAGGCTTGCATGGTCTGGGTCTGCTAAGGAAAGTGTCCATGCTGTTCTGTACAGTTCTGTTCTAGTGCAGCAGTGCAAAGATTGCAACCTCATACCCACTACCCAGTGCTGGCACGTCGACTGCACTTGATATCGGAGGACTAGCTTGCTTGCTTTGGTGGTGCCCGAATGCTGTGAGCCAAATACAAACACGGACAGCTGCTAGATGCCAACAAATGCGAAAAACACGACTGGACCTTTTACGAGCTCCAGAGCCAACTGCGTTGCCGCTAAACGGGATGGCGATCGGCCTGGTCGGCCTTTGAGAGCCTCGAAAGCCCATGCAAGAGAAACGGATCACTGCAGTATCACTGCGGACCTCGAAAATTTGATAATAAACTGGAAAATGAGACCTTGCTCAATTGAAACGGAAGTGCATCACGTCAGCTTCCTGTACCTGAATCCGACTGTCGCAAGCTCAGACTGACTGCAGGGTTAGACTTACAACCACAGCTCACCACATACTCTTTTCCTTCAATGCGAAGCTTGCCCTTATCTTTTGCGGCCTCGCATGGCTTGCATGCCCCTGAATTACAGTCCAGTTTGTGCAGTTGTGTCCTCTTCTGAGCCGCATTGTACGAAGTCGTCATAACTGACTGTCGCTGCCTCGCCAGGACCGGCCACCGTCCCACCATTCCGGCTCGAAAGTGTTTGCGAACCTATCTGCCTTGATGAACCCCTTCTCGAAATCTGTGTGGATGACACCGGCAGCCTCGCGAATGGGCGAAGGATCTTGCCAGAAACACGCAAGCAAAAAATGCCACCTTTGGAGCTTTCCAGCCGGCATGGATGGTCCATGCCCGCGTCTCCTCTGGGCCGAGACAGTGGGAATTGCAATGCTGCAACACAGCCACGCACGCGCTATGCAGCTTTGTGAAGGCTGCGCTCCTTTGGGCCACAAGTGAAATAAGTACGAAGGCCGAGCGTCCTGGTACAAGCACATCACGAACCTACATTGCATCGTTTTCATGCACATTCTCTGCAAGCCATGTTATAAGTCGCCTGTATGTTGCCTGAACCAAGCTGCCACAGCCACTCTCCTGCGCACTCCGAATTGCCGCTCGCGATGCAGTTGTTGCATCTCTCCCAGGGGTAGTGCTGTCCTTGACACCCAATGACTCCAAATAATCTTGCACCTCCTCTGCATCCAAAGACTTCAATTCAGCCTGCACCAGGATCGCTTGCAGAATGCGCAGTTGCAACCGGCTTCAGAACTGAACATATGCGCGAGGGCAAAGGCCTCGACCTGAGCTGACACAACCACTACTTGATCGCCGGTCTCTTTTGCAAAATCCTGTACTGCCTGAACGGGGTGACAAGGAGAAACAGTGCAAGGCAAGAGCAGAAAGAGCAGAGTGCATGGCCCTTGGCCCTTTGCTGGGCCTTCACGTACTGGTTGCCTTCGGCCAACTCCTCCTTCAGAAAAAACGGGCGCTCCCGCACGGCCTCATCCGTGTCCTCTCGCTCTCGCTCCTCGGAGACGTTGGCCGCGTAAATCACCGGCTTCATGGAAAGCAAGGACAAGTCCTCTGACAAAAAGCAAAGAGAGGAGAGAGCCTCGGAGAGAGCGTCGTTTAGTTCTGCTTTTGTCTTTTGAGCCTGGAGGGCCAGCTCTTCCTTCTCGGAGAGCTTTGCTGCACGAGCCGGCTTGCCCTCCTCTCATATCTCATGCTCAGCTCCAAGCTGTGCGTTCTGCAAACATTCATAGTCGTAACGTAGTCCCGCCTCGAGCACCTTGAGGACTTTCTGCAAAGCCTCGCAGAAAGAATTCTTCGGCTCCGAGCTGACATACATACACCCTTCACCGAGCTCCTCCTTTTCTTCCTTAGCACCTTTGACCTGCTTTTGGTTCCAGGTCTCGCTGCGAAGTTCATGAACTCTGCTTGTGAGCGAGCCTGTCCGACCACCTCCCGCTCCACCTTCTTCAGACGCTTCTCGCACTGGCCAGGCTTACCCACCATGACAAGCTTCACAGAAGCCACGGTTGACAGGACGAGCTGCAATTAGCCAGGGCACCTGATCGGCATCTGCAAAAATCAGCTCCAGGCTGATTGTTTCAATGTCCTGATGTCGGATGGGAGTCACCACAATGTGCACCACCTTCTCTTGGATGCCGTTTTGGCGATGGTCGGCGATTGTCTTGACAAGTGGCTCGCACAGGGTCGACGCTACCATCCACATGTGTAACCTGTGCCGACTTTTTGCTTTTTGCGAGAAGCACACACAGAGACAGAAGAAGGAAGGGTGGTTCGACACCGAGCTTCAAGCGTTCTCATCATCGAAGCATCGAATAACGTGAACGATTGCATCTGCATTCATGTTCATACGGGCGATTGAAGCCTCGACACGATAAGCGATCCAAAGCAAACAATGCCTGTATTGCGGATGTTTCCCAGGAACTGGTTGCCCAGGCCCTCTCCTTTCGAGGCACCCCTGCGCAGCGCACATCGATGCACAGCGACAGCCAGGGGTCCGCATGTATGCGACACCATGCCCAATGACACGCCTTACAAGTCCCGCGATGTCGACGTACTCAATCATCTGTGCCAAAGGATGGCATAGCCATTTGGGACGCTTGCTCAGAATGAACCTCGTTGATAACTTTTTCAGAGTTGGCCAAAGAGGCCAGCTTGTCCAGCCGATCATCCGGCACCTGGTAGGATAATGGCTCTGGTGACTCAGATCTGTTGCAACTGCGTCACTTTGGCACTGAAAGCAGCAAAGGCGGTGCTGTGGTGCTTGGATGATCTGATTTTCCTGCCGCACGATGAGGGTCCGCGACGGGACTTTCGGAGACAAGTGCGAGGCCTGCCAATGCGCGGGTAGCAGCGACATGTCACATCCGGTGCTAGATGTCCTAAGCGAAGCCACGCACGACAAACCGTTCCGACTTCGCGGTGCATGCCGCGAGATCAAATTGCTGTCACTGGCATGTCGCCTTTGTTCTGGTCTACTATGACAATTAAATCAATCGTCTCAGAACATCTGCCAATGATGAGGATTCCAAAGATAGTGGCTGCAGCATGTCCAATTGCTTTGCAATGTGACAGCTGCAAGGGCTCCGCAAGGGAACCAGCTCAAACTGGCCTCGATTGCATTCACTACCTGGACACTCAAGCTCGAGAAAGCTTTCAGTATCTTGATGTTGCGCACAGTTTGATTTTGCCTTGTATGACAAAGGTTGCAACACAACCAGACCCACCATTTGTGTGTTTCCGACTGGTGCGGTGTTCGCGTCTACAACGCTCACAGCAAGTGTCATCCTGCAGCTACAGGAAACTACCGTCTACTAGTTGTGGTGAAGAGGTGAAGCTCAGGGACTTGGTTGCCGGTGCTGTGGAGCAGGCGGCAAGCCATCAGAAACTCCGTGATTGAGTCATCTGCAGCCATGTCAGCTCTGATGTTGGCGAACATGCATGATACAAGCACATTCGTGGTTTTCCGACAGTTGCAGCATCGCCTGTACCCTGTATTCGCGAACTTCAGCTTGCCCGAGAGTTACCCGTCGCTTTACACCTTGGCGCATATGACTTCTGACATTCAAGCCAGCCTTCACGCTAGTGAGAACTCATTCAGAGCCCCACTTCGGCAATGTGCAATTTCCTGCATTCACACCACACGCAGTGCCCACCACCATGCACAATGTTTGCGATGCAGTCCTCCTCTTGCAAGGATACTGCATCGAACGTAGCTCGGCGGCCGGTTTCCTCACATTCAGCTTGCCCTCGTCAGTACCATGAACTACTCATGGGATCACAATCCTTGTGACCGAGTCCCTGCAGACTCTTGCTTCTCAAGATGGATTTGCCCGGCGAGACAGGTGAGGTGACCTCCTGAAAACAGAACGGCGCACATTTAAGATGCGACAGGCTTAGGGCCTAACAGGTTTCTCTCACGCTGTAAATTCCAGAACTGCCAGGCCTCGTTGAGCATGAAGCCACCAGGTCTCGAGTTCCTGCTCTCTTCCGAAACAGCAAAGTCAAAGTTTGAGACGGAGCTTTGCCTCAGCCCTGTCGGCGAAGCCGTCTGTTCTGCCTCGCACGAGTTGGCTCGCCCGAGCTGATTCCCTCCATTGCTCCCACCTCAGCGTCCTTTGGGGAATTTGCAGAACTTGTCAGCAACGTCCTGAAGCATGGATGCCACCATGCATGGCATGCTGACGGCACTCGGCAAGCATTTGAAGATCGAAGGCGAAACCCCAAACGTCCTACCAGGGTTCGGGGCTGTTTGGCTTCCTCTGGCATTCTTTGGTGAGCTCTCTGGCCTTGGCGTCTTCCAATGTCAGCAAAGGACTCAGAGAAAATGATGATTTTGAATGATGGTCTGATGGCTGAGCGAGCTGGCTCACTGGTCTCCACCGTGCTTGCCACCTTAAGATCACATGCGTGCCCAGCGCTTCAGATTTGGAGCTGTCCATGAGTGCAGCGCACACCCCATGACGCTGGGAAGATGCTGCTTGATGCCAGCTCTTCAGGTCCTGATCTTCAACTCGCAATGCAAACAGACTGCGAAATGCAGCCAAAACCTTTCTGAGGTCGTGGCTGCAGCTGAGGCCAGCTAAGGTGGGAGGAGAAAAACAGCCCTATAGTTGGTGAAAGCCCAAACAGCTGTTGCAGTGCAGCAAAGGTCTGGGAGACTTGGGAGACTACTTACAGTCGTGATGCAGAAGTGTGGATTACCGACATGGCCATGGCACGCCTTGGCCTTCCCCATGTTGGGGTCAATGGTGCAGAATGGAAAGTTGCCTGCTTCTGCCTTTGCAAAGACAAAGACCAAGGGAGGCTGGGTTTAGATTTGACATGTGCCTCGCCAGTGTCACAAAGAGCATTGAAGAGTGTGCTTTTGCCAACATTGGGCAAACCCACGATGCCTGGGCACGAAACATGATTTCCCACTCCACAACGAAAGCTGTCAGCCTGCCTGTTTGAAGTCCTCGACACTGCAACTTGCAAGCTCGGCCTGAAAGCAGAAAGGAGCACATGGAGATCCAGAGTTCCCAATTCTGCAGGCGCGGCAGCAGCAAGTCAAGCTGCACCCCCCCCTCTCCGCTCTATCCCTACGTGCTTGGTGGGTTTGAGGGGGGGGAAGGTGAGGCTGGGTCTGCTGAGACCGTGTTGCGGAAACGTACCGACATTTCAAGATCAATGGGTCAGCCTGACAGCCCCCTGGCATGCACTCGCCGCGGCAAGCTGCCAACCTTAATCGGAAGAAACTGCTGAAACACGGCGATGTCGACAGCAAACCGTCTCCGCAACTGACAGCAGGCAGCGGCACGACATTTGCTGCTGAGTTGTGCACGAAAGCCGCTTGGTGCCTTCGAGCGCAAGCGAGAACTGCCTTGCAGAAATCCGGAACCTGACTCGTTGCCTTCTCCGTGTATGACTCAAGCATACAGCAGCGGTAGCCGAAGCTGTGGCCGCCTATGAGATGGCACCAAAAAACACAGTGCACTCACAAGCAAGTCACCGGAGTCTTGGAACTCTTCGCGTCTACGTCTAAACGCATGCCAAGATTCCATGTTGTATGCTCCAGTGTGATTTCGCGCATGCCTTTCGTTTGCACCACCGACTCGGGAGAGTAACCTCATAACATGCAGCAGTACAAATCGCAGGAGATCCGATATGCTGAGTTCCAAGCGGCGGGTTGGCAGTTGGTGTCGGCCGGGTACCAAGCGCCACGAATGCACCTCAACAGCTGCTGTGTTGCAAGGTGTTGCAGCCAAGCACCGCAAGCCAATGCCACCACACGACATCGAAGAAAGCATCTCCCGGCCTTCCATCTTTGAAGCTGAAAAGTCGTGGTGCAGTGGCAAGCTTGGGCCAAACCCGTGCCGTCCCTGCATTGACTGTCAGGCCGCGAAAAAACGAAGGGAGGACCCCTGTCTCCAAAAAACAAGCACCTGTCCGAACTTCAGGATGCAACACCTCCACAAACTTGGTGAACACAAGGACGTATGTGCTCTCGAAACATGGCTCAACGTCTTGGACGTTCCGCGGCTATCAACAACGCTGGCATCATCATTACAGCTGCACCGTCTCAAGTCTCAAGTGCCCAACTGCAATGACTGATAACTGGAACCGTACACTGCACACATGCTGTGCAATCAATCCGGGATGTCCATTCCATTTGCTTTGACAAAAGCTGCAAAGTCGGTCCTTGTCTGTATTTGTTTGCCGTCCTGCCCCCCCCCCCCGGTTACAACCGCGCGCACAAATCACAAAATGAAAATTTGTCTGCCCTGCTGTAATTCCCGAATCACCTAGAATTCCCAGAACCTCTTTACAAATTCCACCTTGCTAATGGCAACAATGCAGGACGAAGCATGAAGCACAAAATGCAACTTTTTCACGCACGACATGGAGCTTGTGAGTATCGCAAAAGGCGACTTCGCCGCATTTCGCCGCCTCAATCTTCTGAGTCAGGCCTGGAACGTTCGCGCGAATCGCTGCTGCCAGATCAGAGGGTCTCCAAGTCTGCTGCACTGTGCTCGATTTTGCTTGCAGCCCGAGGGGCAAGTCCACGCCCAAAATCTCCGCAACTCTCTCTTCGCCCTTGACTCCATTCAAGACACGTCCAAACTGGTCACTCGGTCCCCGAAGTGTCCTGCAAACGTGAAAAAACAGGTTCTCGGATACCCTGCACTCTCCCACCTGACGTTCGGGCCGAACGGGCACTCGTCAAAGCAGTCATACTCCCCAACCTGCACTGGAAAGATTTTCCGACACCCCGGATGCTCATGTTGGCAGAGCCGAGTTACTTCAATATCAGTCCCGTCCGCAAGCTTGTCGAAAACAGCTTTCAGCTTTGCACCGCCACCCCTGCCTGCAGGAACCAGGGTTGGAAGGCATTGCTGGGCATCGAAACCATCCGTGTTGCATGGGGAGTTCTCTCTCAAGTGCTGGCAAGCTGCGCTTGCAGTCTCTGTGTATGCAGATCTCAACTTTTGTAATCTGGGACCTCAGGAACCGCTTGCGTCGCGGCAACAGACACGCCTGCGTACAGCAACACCCAGCTCAACAAGCTGTCTCGACTCAAACAGCCTCAGGACCAAAACCTAAACGGACTCAAACCACCCAGACATCAAAGCTGAGTATCAATGTCTGCTTCTAATAGCTTCGGACTTGCCGAAGGCAGGAATTACAGGGAAGAAAAGGTAGCCTGCAGGGCCAGCCGTCTTGCACCATAAGTGAAACGCATGCCTGCAGGATCCTGCAGGCTGTTCAGTTTCATGCCTCTCTGAATCACTTTAAGCTTGCAGCTCGTCGGCTGCGTGGAGGGAGGTCTTGTCACTTCTTCCGCTCCAGAACGGCCCGACAAATAGCAAACCTGCAGAAGTTGCAACATGCTGGAGCATGAGCCGCACTCTCAGTCTCACCAAAGGCTGGGCCTGTCCAAAAAACAGACCATGCAGCCAGTATCAAGCCGGCCTCAGCACAGCACGGCACTCTCGGGTCACGAAAGAAGCGGAGCCGAATGAAGCCAAGGCACTCTCGGTGCTCTGCGCCGCGCCATGCGGAAGCTCCACTTAACCACCGTCACTTGAGCACACTTATCCATGGAATGCTGGCTCTGCGAAGTCATCACACTACACAGAAGTACAGTCGACACCACCAACCAGGCTTAAAAAAAACGCAAATTGGAGCACGGTGCACTCGGAAAGAAAGGAGATGGGCACGACTGTCGTGCCAGCTCGCAAACCCTAGCCTTACTTAATTAGGCCTTTAGGGAACTCGAGCGAAGCCTTAACCCATACCTAGCAAAGCTTCTTACTAATAGTGAAACCGCATCACTGTCTTCCACTATTCGCTTTTCCTAAACCTCCGGTACAGTCCAAAACATTAGGGTTCCAGGCAAAGACGAAGAGAGGTGCCACTACAAAGAAACCCGGTTTCTTGGTGTTGATAGTTAAATGGAGTCGCAAAAGCATTCGATGAAGCTTCAGGCACAAGGAGACGACAACATCCTTCAAGAAAAGCTTGGGTTCAGGACCGCTTGTGCCAAATGAGAGGTCATCAAGCCAACTGGAAACATCCAAGTCCGCGCATCTTTCACGAAGCGTCCGCAGCACTTCAATCGATGAAGGCTTAGCAAGAGCATCAGAGCTGGGACAGCCTTGAAATGTGCTTCACTTTGGGTGGGTGGGTCGCGAGATGTCGCGAGGCCTTCTTGGCCGCAAGCATTATTCTTGGGCCACGATGATTGATTAACGATAAAGGCCAAAAGCAGTTGCAATGGAGGATGGTCCAAATCTAGGGCTTTGCCGACGAGCATGTCGCGATCAGGCGAGTCACGCACTTTGCTGAGATCATGCAGCAATGTATTTCATCCTGCTAGTGTCCAGCAAGAACTCAATCGACAATGCTCGCCCTGGGGATCGCAG